CGAGCATGAAAAGTGGAGGATCCGAGAATAATTACTTTTAATACTGGAAACGGGGCGTTCTCTACAATCAGATAATACTTGGCGAGCATGAAAAGTGGAGGATCCGAGAATAATTACTTTTAATACTGGAAACGGGGCGTTCTCTACAATCAGATAATACTTGGCGAGCATGAAAAGTGGAGGATCCGAGAATAATCACTTTTAATACTGGAAACGGGGCGTTCTCTACAATCAGATAATACTTGGCGAGCATGAAAAGTGGAGGATCCGAGAATAAAGAACGATCTGAATTTTCGAAGAAGCTATGTCCGAAGATGGGTTATTATTACAAGACAACCAACGGTTATTGAAAAAATGGCATTTTAACGTGACGTAAGATTATCGGTATGTTGGTGGTGGCGAAGGTATTAAAATACACATAAAACTGCTTATATGAAGTCGTTATATTTTATATTCGCGTCTGTAATCATTCACCGACAGAATTGCTTTAAACTAGTCAAATGTTATGGTTTAAAAGTCTTTTTTATTATACAGAAAAGGTACTTCTTAGTCGCCACGATGGAGAACGAGAGCATGTTGGATCTGTTTGATTTGGTTAAACGACCACTAAAAATTTGTCAAACATTTAAGGGCTTTAAAGCACTATAATAAAAGGATCAGTCGGCGCTCTATTAGACTATAGCTATGAGAAAGACAAAGTATTAAAGTTTCCTTCCTGTTAACGATTTTTTAATCTCGTACACAAAGAGGCGTTATGGGTTTCGAAGCTCAAACAAAAAAAAAATAACGGTCAATGTTGATAAGTATAGTAGTTCAGAATTTTATAGTCAACAAACCATGAAATGTTTATTATTGTAAATGGATAGTTTTATCTATTATTTGCTTATAGATAGATCCACACTTACATAAAATATTTATATGTGTGTGAGAGAGACCATGTAATATATACATATATTACTAAACACATTTATATTTGTTTGGTGTTAAGCACAAAGCTATATAATGGGCTACCTGTACAGTGCCCACTACGAGTATGGAAACGGGGTTTTTAGCGTTAAAAGTCTTCAAACCTGTTGTTTGGCCACTGGGGGGATGGTCACTATTTATACCTGTAAGAAGTAATTATCCAGGTTTTTCTATTTTAGTGTTTGTTGTTGTTAAGTGCAAAGTTACCCGATGGGCTATCTTTCATGTTCCCATTACAAATATTGAAAACTGGTGTTTTTAGCGGTGTGAGCCCTCAGACTTACCACTAAGGGGCCATTTTAGCGTGATTTTATTTAAGTAAATTATTATTGGTCGATTTTTGCGATAAGTTTTATTTTTCCTTATGAGGTAATTATATATACCGTATACGTCATTCTACTGCTGTATAAGATCCGAAGAATAAATAGAACACGGATAACAGAGGAAACAAACCCAAGTGATCAAATAAAATAAAACTTTATTGATAATAATGTAGTCCATCTACTGGCAGGCATCTTAAAGTCCATTGTGACTTCACTGGCTGCTGGGGCTGAAGAAGGACGCTTTTCCGAGAATTCAATCATATCGCGCTTTCAAAACAAGGGGTCCAAGTGCGGTATCCCATAATTCGAAGTTACTTACGTTACTAACTATTCCAAATAACAACAATGGGGTTGAAGAACGTAATTGCCAACGTAAATATCACACGTGACAAGCCGTCACTCTCGTGAACAGCTCGCGAAACCAGCATATGATGAGAAACTTACTAGTAAGCTACTCGTGGCAGTCAAAACTAATAATGACGGAGTCACTAAACAATCTGAATCTTTTAATGGGAACCAGAATCCAAATATACAACTAAACGAACGTTGTTGCTGAAGTCAGTATAGTGGATTATCCAAGGTTGCATAAATGTCCGAATGACAATTCACACATTTACTCTGTAAGCGCAAACACGACAAGTCCGCTTTTTTAATCAGATAAGTAATAAATAAACACATTAATAAATATATCATTGAATAGTATATGCTACATACACATAACAGTGCTATAATGAATAAAACAGTATTTATGAATCAAGATTTGCATAAATAGTGTTCGTGTGATTTTTAGCTAAATAATGACATATCTGCCCCCGACTCTACGCGGGAATCGAACCTCTGATTCAACACTATAAATCTTTAAACTCATCGTTGATCCACCGGAAGAGTTATGTAAATACACTACTTGTAATAATCAAAGTTTGGGGCACAAAATCAGGCATGGAAACCGAATGAGACCATCTTAAAATACTGAAATATGCACAAGCACAGGTTTGGTGGGTAAATTACAACGCTAGAAACCGGGTTTCGGGCAGAGCACAAATAGCCCATTGGGTAGCTTTGTCCTTAAATTGCAAACAAACCAGACATGAGATCTCACCAACAATACTAACCAGAAACCATTTGGTAAACCTGCAATAATTAACACTACAGTTTAGCTAAAGAATTAGGTCTAAAAAAAATCAAACACTAGTCCTAGTAACAGAATATATATTAAGCCTACTGTAGTACCCTATATTTTTTCTACATGACAAGGCCTAACAACAAGAAACTTAACCGATTTATGAAGGTTATAGAATATAAATGTCTCGATTAGTTTTAGAATAACCTTAACTTTTGTGAACCAGAATGTTTGATACTTTTTTTGTTTAACCAAGCATGAATTTTTTTTTCGTTATCACTGAATTAAGACAATTTAACGAATGAGGGTTAACACAGAATTGAAATGTTTTTTTTTTTCTGTTTTAACGTGTTCAGCAGATTTATGTCCACAGCACACGAGTAAACTCAAAGGCATCTGATCTTAATGAATCCATGGTTTGCTTTAGATGAAGCACTTAAAAATTTCCCGCAACAGTGTTTTTCAAAAATTGTAATGGATGCCAAGATAAATTTTTTTATAAAAAAAACTTCCACGCCAACTTGGTTAAGGAAATGTTTTTTTCCAAACTCAATCATGTTAAAAGCTTACTCATTTAAAAGGCCATGGCCATAGCCTCATCCATCACAGTTTAAGTCAACTGGAAGGCGGCGGTTGGCGCTTTCTTATCAACAAACTTGTGTAAACTTTCCGTGAAAAAAAATAATAATCTGTATTCGTTCATAAAGGCGTTCCACCTTTTAGGAAAAACCCTATACTTTTAAGGTACATATCCAGTTAGATTTTTTTTTTTTTACTAACAATTGTAAGATAGGTTCTGATGTAGTCCTTTACCCACCAATAAAAACCTAAAAGTCTTTAGATGTTTGAATAATATGCGTTCATATCATCGTAATTAATTATTCATTATCATTAAACGGAGTAATTTTTTTCTTTTCTTCGCCAAAACGTGTAATTTGAGTGAAGAATCCTTGAATGACGTGTAGAAGCCCAATGTGTTATTTGATACAACATTAAACAGAGCGTTAAAACGTGCACTCCAAAACGAAAATGTGACTTATTAACTTTCAAAACTCGCTAACAGAATTCTTCCATCTTGAGTTTAATTCAATTTTATTACTATATAATATAAAAACTTACATGATACTCTAGCTTTTTTTATTTTTCTTTTATACAGGCAAAAAATAAAATAAAATTGATAAAAATAAGGGACGTTTCAACTACAACAAACATACAAGTTGTATAAAAAAAATCACAGTAAAGAATTCATAAGAATGCACAGGAAAGAAATGATATTATTATTAATGTTTGGAGTTCTTCAACGTGTTCATTACTGCAACAATGGCATCTACTGGGTCAGTAAATTCCATCATGTGTTTAAGAATGCACAGGAAAGAAATGATATTATTATTAATGTTTGGAGTTCTTCAATGTGTTCGTTACTGCAACAATGGCATCTACTGGGTCAGTAAATTCCATCATGTGTTTAAGAATGCACAGGAAAGAAATGATATTATTAATGTTTGGAGTTCTTCAACGTGTTCATTACTGCAACAATGGCATCTACTGGGTCAGTAAATTCCATCATGTGTTTAAGAATGCACAAGAAAGAAATGGTATTATTAATGTTTGGAGTTCTTCAACGTGTTCGTTACTGCAACAATGGCATCTACTGGGTCAGTAAATTCCCGCATGTGTTTAAGAATGCACAAGAAAGAAATGGTATTATTAATGTTTGGAGTTCTTCAACGTGTTCATTACTGCAACAATGGCATCTACTGGGTCAGTAAATTCCCGCATGTGTTTGTGCCCCAG